TTGAAAACAAAACAGTTGACGAAGCATATAAGCGTAATTCTCGACCTCTTTGGCAACAATTACAGCTAAAATACTCAACACCTTGTTGAATATACAGTTAGTAAGCTATTTTGAATTGCACTATGCACAGTTTGGGTTCGGTCTGATATGTCTACTGAGAATGCTATCCCAGCCCTAAAACACAACGTTGAATATTACACAAAGTGCCGTACACCTGTATATGCATGTTTTTTAGATCTCTCCAGAGCTTACGATCTCGTAGTTTATGATTTATTATTTAATAAGCTACGCTATAAAAAGGTCCCAGCAGAGCTTTTAAAGATTTTTCAGTACTGGTACAACAATCAGTATAATAACGTGAGATGGGCCGATAAGTTTTATGGAAGTTACAGGTTGCCATGTGGGGTCAGACAGTTCAACTTGTACATAAATTATCTAATCGTTAAGCTCAGCAGGAAACAAGTCGGATGTAGTATCGACGATGTAAGTTTTAATAACTGTGCTGCTGAGTCCAACGGTTAAGACAACCAGGAAACTCCTCAAGATATGTGAGAAGTACGCGTTAAACCATGGGTTGAGTTACAACACCAATAAAAGCGAGTTTATGGGGTTTAGGGCCGTCGGCTGTAGAAGCCCAGAAAAAGTACCTGCTATTAAATGTAATGGCACTGTATTAAAACTAAGACGACAACGAACGACAGTCGACGCCTTTCGCGTCCAGTACAATAACGGCTTCAGGGTCTTGTTTTGGCTACCCTGATTTGGCAGTGCAACAGTGCTACTACGCCATTATAAGAAAAAAAACTGCCTCGTTGCTCGTTAGGGTGTGGGCTAGCTTCAACTCCATCATAAAATTAATTACTGATAGATATGAATCATTTATTTGAAAGTAATATTACCACCTCTGTTTTGTTGATAAGGTACTGGATTCTTGGTTGTCCACTACTGTGCGACTTAGCTGGTTTTCTAAACCATCATTAGGAAACCTGATCATGATGAAATAATTAGGTTTTGTTCACTTCAGCATTATTCCCTTTCCCCCCGGACTTCCAAAGAGTAAAGACTTGTTTATAGTTTATTTTATTACCTGTATTTTCTAATAAATGCTTTGACAAAATAGTGATAAAATATTAGGAGTGCATAAAACCCGAGGCAGTTTACGAAGTGCTAATGACATCTGCGGCAGTGATTAATTTTCAAAAAACTAAATTATATGTGTGAGTAAAACCATCACATTTACAATCAACAAATAAATAGGACACAGCATAAGACACCACACGTTAGTAAAACGATAAGAAGAGAGACGGTTATATTTTACTTGTACTGTTGCATTAGGGGTACGAGTTCGCAAATATACTGCGATCACACTTTCTAACTCATATTGTCCTGGTAATTAAACGTTGAGGCGTCTTTTACTTCAAAACCGGTTATACAATGCCGATCAACCGTACACCGCCGCCCGCTTCGCCCGTGCCTGTGAGCTCTGATGATACATCGCAATCGCAGACATCGCGGACGCGCGCAATCGACGCGATAGAACGGACGACAAAACTTCACAGTGAATCGGCGCCTGATATTCCATCGCTTACGTTAAATGTTACTGAGCGTAAAAAAAGGATACATGACGGAGTGAATCCTAACATTATGTTTTATATGAGTGAAATGTTTTCAGTTTATACAAATGAACAAGCAAAGCATTTCAAAGATTTACAAACTATAGTTTCTAGTATAAAAGAACAGAACGATGAATTAAAAAAGAGCGTCGATACTATGTCAAGCAAGTATGATGAGTTTCTATCACGGATATCCGTTCTAGAGGCAGAGAAAAGGCAGTATAGATATATTATACAACAACTACAGGAGAAAATAGAAAATATGGAAAGGAAGTCCAGATTTTCGGGAATAGAAATAAGAAACATACCTAAAAACAATGAAGAATCAAAAGAAAATATATGTAGCACTGTTAAAAAATTAGGGGAGTGTTTGAATGTAAATTTGCAGGATTCGGACATAAAAGACGTGTATAGAACTAATTCTAAGACGGGGACTAGACCGATAATAGTGAAATTTAATTCAGTCATTATTAAAGAAAAGATGTTACATGAAGTAAAAAATTTTAATAAAACAAAACCAAAAAATGAGAAATTAAATACTTCGCATCTAAATTACTCACAAAAAAACATCCCTATATATGTCGCGGAGACGTTTACACAAAATACTCAAAAACTTTTCTATCAGGCAAGAATTTTCCAAAAAAGTCATAAATATTTATTCTGCTGGACATCTAGAGGCATTGTATACTTACGCAAGAATGAAAATTCTTCTCAAATTAGAATAAATAATGAAACAGATCTAGAAAATCTACGGAAGACCGAATGACTAGTTTTAACTTTTAGATTAGATATTTTCTCATCCTTTCTTTTATTTTTAACTATCATAATAAGAATAAAGTATATTCTAACACTATACTTTATAATACACATAGTCACAATTTACACACAGTACATAAACAAAAATCAAACATTATCCACCTTAATTACATCTTTTAAATCACACTTACATTTTATAATAAATCATATTCACTCATTTTATATATACTACTTACAGTTACATTTTTCAATCAATTTGTCGAATAAAAGATATTATTTGGTCAATAACGAGACTCTGTGAGAGAGAAATTTAATAAAAAAAATAAATAGAGAAATTTAGAGTAATAAATAAAAGGCGATAATAACGCTGTAAGCTTCACTATTAACTTAGACAAATTTACGGTATCAAGATCGATAGCCTGTGACGTTGAAGATTGTTATAAGTATTTGTCACCTAGTGAATCCAACTTCACAATTATTACGCAGAATATACGAAGAATTAACTGCAATATTACAGATTTTGAAGTATTACTGACTAGATTAAAAATAGATTTTGATGTCATTGTACTAAGTGAATGCTGGTTGCTTAATAAGGACAACTTACCTAAAATTACTGGTTATAATTTATGCTCCACTAATTTTAATAACAACCAAAATGACGGATTAGTAATATATGTAAAAGAATAACATTTGTTCACGACTGAGGATCCTCATTTTCAAGAAGGGAATTGTATCATAACAACATTGAATGATATTGTTATAATCTCAATATATAGGTCACCGTCATATAAAAATGTAGAAAACTTTTTTTCCTTCTTGGATAGTGTACTACAGAAATATTCGAAACATAAAAACATAATTATAATAGGAGATATAAATATTAACATTAACAATAAAACAGATATTAATTCGGATAAGTATTTACAACTGACAGCATTCCATGGATTATTACCCACTCATACTCTAGTAACACGTGACGCAAGTGGTTCGTGTATTGATCATGTTCTGCTAAAAACAAATAATCCTTCACTTACTATGGTTCCTCAAACTTCAATCACTGATCACAAACCTGTAATTTTATGTATGAAAAATAAACAACGTCAACAGTTTTATACAACTACTATCAAGAAAATAGATCACGATAAACTTAATTCGGATATGCAAAACATTGACTTTTTACCTATATATAATATTAAAGATTCAAATACTTCTCTTGAATACTTAGTTAATAAAATAGAAACAGTAATTGAAGTTAATACTAAATTAGTGAAGTTGCCAAGACAAAAAAAGATTATTAAACCTTGGATTACGACTGGTCTTCTTAGATGTATTCGTCACCGTGATAAACTACATAAGAGGGCTAGGCGATTTCCAGATAGTGAAAGTGATCGAATTATATACCGACGATATCGTAATCACTGTAACGCATTTTTAAAAAAGGTAAAGAGAAATTATGAAAAAGAGCGAGTGAATATGGCTAAAAATAATAATAATAAGCTATAGGAATTACTTACTGATATTATAGGTAACATGAAAAAAAAGGTATAACAGAGAACTGTTAAATATATCTAGTACGCCGCAAGTATCTGTTAACCTTATTAATAATTATTTTGTAAATGTAGGTAAAAGTTTGGCAGAGAGTTTTAAGGTAGGAAATAAAAACAGTGAAAGTTTTAATATTAACATTGGTGAAGAATCAAATTATTACTTAAATTCATTTGCTTTATTGGACACGAATGAAAGGGAAGTAGAACAATTAATTGACAATTTGAAAACCGACTGTTCAGTTGGTTGGGATGGAATTTCGAATAAATTTATTAAAAATTTTAAATATTTGTTAATACCTCCTTTAACTTGTATATTCAATCAATGTTTAAATGATGGTGTATTCCCTAGATATATTAAGAAGTCCGTAATTCGACCTATTTTTAAAGATGGTGAAAAAACATGTTTAAGTAATTATAGACCTATCTCTATTTTACCCGCTTTATCCAAAATTTTAGAGAAAATTATAAATAATAGACTTACAAAATATCTGGAGAAAAATAATTTATTGTCAAATACTCAGTTTGGTTTTAGACATGGCAAATCAACAGAGCATGCCGTTCATACTCTTACAAATTTTTTGACATCGTATTTAGACAGTGGAAAAAAGTGTATTTCTGTTTTCTTAGATTTGGCGAAAGCATTCGATATCGTGTCAATAAAAATACTATTATAAAGACTGGAAAATGTCGGTATCAGAGGCACTAAACTCAAACTATACAAAAGTTATCTTTCTAAGAGATATCAATGCGTTAGTGTAAATAATATTACCAGCAATGATTCACTAGTAACACATGGCGTACCACAAGGGAGTATACTCGGCCCAACCTTATTTCTTATTTATATTGAAAACTTTACAAAATTTAATCTCTCTCAGGGACATATAATTTCATATGCAGATGACACTGTTTTGATATTTGCTGCGGAAACGTGGAAAGATGTATTCTCGTCTGCACAATTAGGTATAAATGCAGTTACCAATTGGCTTTACAGTAATAAACTTTCAATGAATATTACGAAAACAAAATATATGGTTTATTCATTAAGAAAACCTATTCGCAACCTTGAAAATTTTAACTTAGTGATTCATTCATATGATTGTTTAACAAGGGATAACAGCTGTTCCTGCCTTTCACTTGAGCCTGTTGAATATATTAAATATCTAGGGGTTATAATAGATAGTAATTTAAATTTTAAACAACATTTTAACACACTTAGCAAAAGAATTCGTAAATTAATATATATTTTTAAAACTATTAGACACATTTTGGATCCAGATATATTAAAACGAGTTTACTTAGCTTTATGTCAGTCTATTATAACATACTGCATATCAACGTAGGGTGGTGCCTCTAAAACGGTGCTAGAAAAGATAGAAATCTCTCAACGTGCTATACTCAAAGTTGAAACATTTAAACCTTTTCTTTATCCTATATCACAGCTTTATGATAACTGTCAGATCCTTACAGTAAGACAACTGTTTGTATTAAAGATCATTCAGAAACAACATAGCTTATTAGTATACGACCGATCGAACTTAAATAAACGCAGGAAATTTTCCGTAGCTACAACCAATTTTAAAACAGCTTTTATAAGAAAATTCTTTGCATTTTTAGGACCACACTTATATTATAAACCAAATGAAACATTTACCACCTTAATAAAATAAATTTTAAAAAAACTGTACATAATTACCTACAAAAATTAACTTATAATGAAACTGAAAACCTGCTTAGTATTCAGACTTAAAAATAAATTCTTATATAACTGTCACCTGTAATACTACCCGTATAAAATCATAATAACCAGACACATACACACGCACGTGCGCAAACACACACACACACACACATTTTACATGCTCCTCTCCCATAACTGCTGACACACATTACACTCATAATGCAATTACTTCTTACAGTCATACATTACACATCTTATGAGAGAGGAACGGCATTAGTAGTATAAATTATTATTATTTTGTTTGTACCCTGGTATTAGTAATAAGTGGTAACATAGTATATAAACATAATACGTGATACAATTAATTTCATTGTTTTATTAGTTTTTATATAATTAGGTTATATTAGCGGAATGTACAAATTTTTAGATAGTATTTGATTATTTAACTTTTGCTTGCTTCCTAATATTTCTATAAATTAACGGTGGGGATATGGCGCTGACAGCTGATGCACAGGTCTCCTAGTTCGGCTGCAGATGCTATGTTTTCAAATATATGTACTAATGTAGCTTTATTAAATAATGTTATGCAAATATCGTGATGTACAACCTCTTGGAAATAAAGAACTTATTATTATTATTGTGGGGTATCTATATAGTTTTCTCATCTGGTTGGGTTCTATAAATATATAATTATAAATGAAAATGAAAAGATAAATATACATAAATATCAATAACATAAAATAAATATAAAAATACATAAATAAATAAAAGCCCAACCAGATGGAGGCCCTCGGCAGGGGAGACCAAACGGCCGAGGGTTAGGTATCGAGGAGCACCGCCTTCTGCATTTGAGCCCGGAGCGGTCCGCCACGTAGTCCCAGTCAACTCAGATGACCCGAGAGGCTCACTGGGATTAGCCCGTTTGCAGAGACGACTACAGGAATAATTTCGGTCGGCAGACCACCCCACATGTCGGTCACCTCGTGAACCAGGTACAGATATTTTGTTTGCTTGTCTGTTTCGGCTTTCACGAGGTTCTCGTCATACGGAATGTTAATGTCGACCAAAAATATCCTTGACTGTGCCCGGTCCATCAGCACAATATCAGGCTAATTCGCAAGAATAGTCCTGTCTGTGATGATGGCCAGGTCCCAATAGAGCCTGGCGCGATCATTTTCGAGCACGACTTCCGGCAATTACTTGTAATACGGCATTTTCCGATCCACGAGACCGTATTTCAGAGCGAGCTCCTGGTGAATAATTCTGGCTACTAGGTTGTGCCTGTGCAAGTACTCAGAGTTAGAAAGCGCCGAACAACCGGAGATGACATGCCTAAGTAACTCACCGGGATGGCAACAAGCTCGACAGATGTCCACGGTGCCATCCTTTCGGATGTATCTCCGATACTTGTTGGTCTTAATAACCTGATCCTGTATTGCACAGACGAAACCCTCGGTTTCCCCGAAGAGATCACCAAAGCGTAGCCAGTGGAGGGAGGCTACTGTGTCTATGAAAGTCTCATGTAGAGCCTTGTAGAACCTCCCGTGGAGCTCCTTCTCCTTCCATACGGTCTCCCGGTCGGAAATGCTAAGCACTGCTGGGTCCTGCCATTGCTCGTTGGCTAAGTATAGAGGGGTAAGCGCTTTATCACTAGAAATGACGTCATTATAGAGTGGATCATCCGATCTCGCCAGGAAGTAATCACGGAGGCTGCACACTTCGCGATTATGCATAGTGAGCGCGCTCAGAAAACCACGTCCAGAATGCTTTCGCGGCAAGTACAGCCTCATTACCAACGATCTCGGATGATGCATCCTATGGGACGACATGGTAGTGCGGACTTTTCTATCCAGGGCGTTAAATTCAGTCTGAGTCCACCTGAGTATGCCAAAGGTATACATGAGGATAGGCATGACCCAACCGTTATATGCGTGTGTCTTATTCACACCGGACAAAAGGCTGTTAAGCACTTTGGTCAAGCGTGCATAAAACACGTCGCAAACTGACTGTTTCATACCAGCCTCATCGATACCGATGTTCTGTGACACACCCAGGTATTGGTATGTTTCAGCCTCGGAAAGCGATGCGGGCGGTATCGAGGAGCACCGCCTTCTGCATTTGAACCTGGAGCGGTCCGCCACGTAGTCCCAGCCGCCTCAGATGACCCGAGAGGCTGACTGGGATTAGCCCGTTTGCAGAGACGACTACAGGAATAATTTCGGTCGGCAGACCACCCCACATGTCGGTCACCTCGTGAGCCAGGTCCAGATATTTTGTTTGCTTGTCTGTTTCGGCTTTCACGAGGTTCTCGTCACACGGAATGGTAATGTCGACCAAAAATATCCTTGACTGTGCCCGGTCCATCAGCACAATATCAGGCTTATTCGCAAGAATAGTCCTGTCTGTGATGATGGCCCGGTCCCAATAGAACCTGGCGCGATCATTTTCGAGCACGGCTTCCGGCAAATACTTGTAATACGGCAATTTCCGGTCCACGAGACCGTATTTCAGAGCGAACTCCTGGTGTAGAATTCTGGCTACTAGGTTGTGCCTGTGCAAGTACTCAGAGTTAGAAAGCGCCGAACAACCGGAGATAACATGCCTAAGTGACTCACCGGGATGGCGACAAGCTCGACAGATGTCGACGGTGCCATCCTTTAGGATGTATCTCCGATAGTTGTTGGTCTTAATAACCTGATCCTGTATTGCACAGACAAAACCCTCGGTTTCCCCCGAAGAGATCACCAAAGTGTAGCCAGTGGAGGGAGGCTACTGTGTCTACGAAAGGCTCATGTAGAGCCTTGTAGAACCTCCCGTGGAGCTCCTTCTCCTTCCATACGGTCTCTCGGTCGGAAATGCTCGGCACTGCCGGGTCTTGCCATTGCTCGTTGGCTAAGGATAGAGGTAGGTAGATAGGTAAGTCCTTTATCACAAGAAATGACGTCCATATAGAATGGATCATCCGATCTCGCCAGGAAGTAATCACGGAGGCTGCACACTTCGCGATTATGCATGGTGAGCGCGCTCAAGAAGCCACGACCACCATGCTTCCGCGACAAGTACAACCTCATTACCGACGATCTCGGATGATGCATCCTATGGGACGTCATGGTAGTGCGGACTTTTCTATCCAGGGCGTTAAGTTCAGTCTGAGTCCACCTGAGTATGCCAAAGGTATACATGAGGACAGGCATGACCCAGCCGTTATATGCGTGTGCCTTATTCACACCGGACAAAAGGCTGTTAAGCACTTTGGTCAAGCGTGCATAAAACACGTCGCAAACTGACTGTTTCATACCAGTCTCATCGATACCGATGTTTTGTGACATACCCAGGTATCGGTATGTTTCAGCCTCGGAAAGGGTCCTTAAGTTGACGGGCATAGATAAGTCTACGCCCTCAGAGTTAGCAACCCTTCCCCTTTCAACATGGAGGACCGCACACTTATCCGTCCCAAGCTCCATTCCAATGGAATTGCTAAATTCACAAGTGATGTTTAGCAATTCCATAAGATGGGAGCGACTGGAGGCGAATAACTTGAGGTCATCCATATAGAAAAAGGTAGGTCACTTTTGTCCCTCCTCTCCGTAGCTGAAATCCCCTCCCGGAGCCCTCCAGTAAGGTACTGAGAGGGTTCAGAGAGAGGCAGAACCAGATTGGACTCAGACAATCGCCCTGGAAGATACCCCTTCTTATCCTTATGTGGTTCTTCGCAGCCATCATCCGCTCGCCCAGATGACAAAGGATCGTACTCCACCGCCCCATACACTGCTCAAGGAAGTCTCTAACTGTACAGTCTATCTTGTACAGCTCGAGGACTCTCTTTAGCCATGTATGGGGCACCGAGTCGAATGCCTTTCTGTAGTCTATCCAGGCGGCGGAGAAGTTCCGACGGTTGCGTTTCACCACTATGCCAATGACCGCGTCAATGAGGAGTGGTTCCTTGGTTCCACGACCACCGCCCCGACATCCATTTTGAGCGCGCGACATCACCTGATTTGAGTCCAGGTGACAAGTGATTCTCGCGCTCAAAATGGATGTTAGTGTCTTGTATATGGTCGGTAGACACGTGATGGGGCGGTATTTACTCGGGTCTGTGGTACCCTGGTCTTTAGGAACCAAATGAGTGATCCCAGTAGTGAAGAGGCTTGGGAGCGACTTCTGGTTGAGAGCCTCTTGAAACTGTCGGGCAAGCACAGAGTGACACACCATGAACCCCTTCAGCCAGTAGTGATGCAGCCCGTCAAGCCCCGGACTTTTCCAGTTCGGGGCCCTACGGACCGCCTCAGCTACGTCATCCGGCGTTATGATGACGGGGTCCATGGGCGTAATACCCGCACACTGACTCGCCACAACTTCCGTCCAAGGGCCCTCGCTGTGGTTTACGGGCTCTGACCACAGGCCGCGCCAGAATGCTACAGTGTCGGCCTGATTCGGTGCTGGACCCGTTCCACTTACCATTGGTCGCTCCAATGATTCATAGAGCCTCTTCTGATCACTCTGGAAGAGACGATTCTGGTTGAACCGTGTCGACCTCTCGGTATATCGCCGAATCCGTTTTCCCCAAGCAGCGATTCTCTGCTTCAGATCATCTATGCTCTCCGTCAGTTTTTGCGTTATATCCGGCTGGGACAAACTGACATTTGTCCCAGCAAACGCCATCCTGACGGTGTGCACAATTCTTGGCCTGTTGTTTCCTGATCTGAAGCATATCAGTCTGCCGATGAGAGCTCTAGCCTTTGCGATACGTTCCTCAATTCTTCTTCTCCATGCTGGGATAGCGCTACTATGGCCAGTAGCGCGTCCAGCCGTGGAAACCTTGGCGCCTATGATACGGCAGACTGCCAGCGCGGCGCCAAAAAGAATTGAGTCCGTCTCGCAAAGGTCCCAGCTGGCTTCCAAATAGGTCACCAGCATTGGGTTCAGAGCCCTCACGACAGCCCGATTCCGCTTGCTTAGGGCTATGCGGGGAAGTCGCGGTCGATTTTCGAGAGGCGTACTGCGCGATTCCACAATCGCCTCTTCCAATGTACTCCTCATATGCTCTAATTCCAGTTCCTGCGCGACTGTTCCATCATCGTTTGAAGCACCCACAACGGGTATTCACGGCGGAATCCACGTTTGCGGGTTGCGCAATCATTTGTGGCGCCGCATCCTCAGCCGTAGCATTCTCATCCGACGAGGGAACAGCCTCACGTCGTAGCCGTTCGAGTTCGGCGACATCAAATATATTTGAGCGCAAGATATACCGAACTCGGTCTGCCAGGTTTTGCTCTGTGACTGTTAAAGATGGCTCCAGCTCAGCAAAAAGACGATGCATCCTAGCCCGATACGCCAAACATCCAGTTTCTCCCCCTTTCGCCCCAAAATACGCCCGCAATGCGTTGCTGTTCATCTGGGTTGTCCAACGCATGCGGCGTACTCCACCAGAGGCGGGTGCCGATTGCTGGGCCCGCGAAGACCCTGCCGACACCAAGCCAGCTGGTGGGGATGATGGATGCGAGGGGCTGCTGGGTGGTTGTGCAGCACCTCGCGCTCGGCTGGCGGTTCGCATGCTGCCGCGTCCAGCGCCAGCTCCAGACGCGCCCTGGCGACCTCCAGGCAGCGGCCCTTTGCGCGTTCTTCCGTATTCCATCATCCATAGTGGTGGGCGTCATTTAGCGGGAGACGCCCAGACCCGGCGCCGTTTCATGGTGAGGCCATGTGCACAAGCGGGCCTTTGCACCTTCAATTTTTGCCGAGGCACGGCACTAACACCTCTTGGCAAGGTGCTGACTGACTGCGCTGACGTAGCGGTTTTGTCACATAACCGTTACGTCAGCGGGCGATGGGGTCGTCACTTCCCTACGCCTTATTATTATTATTTTGGGGTATCTATATAGTTTTCTCATCTGGTTGGGTGCTATAAATATATAATTATAAATGAAAATGAAAAGACAAATATACATAAATATCAATAACATAAAATAAATATAAAAGTACATAAATAAATAAAAGCCCAACCAGATGGAGGCCCTCGGCAGGGGAGACCAAACGGCCGAGGGTTAGGGGGAAAGGGAAAGAAACCGGCGGACGATGCGGGCGGTATCGAGGAGCACCGCCTTCTGCATTTGAACCTGGAGCGGTCCGCCACGTAGTCCCAGCCGCCTCAGATGACCCGAGAGGCTGACTGGGATTAGCCCGTTTGCAGAGACGACTACAGGAATAATTTCGGTCGGCAGACCACCCCACATGTCGGTCACCTCGTGAGCCAGGTCCAGATATTTTGTTTGCTTGTCTGTTTCGGCTTTCACGAGGTTCTCGTCATACGGAATGGTAATGTCGACCAAAAATATCCTTGACTGTGCCCGGTCCATCAGCACAATATCAGGCTTATTCGCAAGAATAGTCCTGTCTGTGATGATGGCCCGGTCCCAATAGAGCCTGGCGCGATCATTTTCGAGCACGGCTTCCGGCAAGTACTTGTAATACGGCAATTTCCGATCCACGAGACCGTATTTCAGAGCGAGCTCCTGGTGTAGAATTCTGGCTACTAGGTTGTGCCTGTGCAAGTACTCAGAGTTAGAAAGCGCCGAACAACCGGAGATAACATGCCTAAGTGACTCACCGGGATGGCGACAAGCTCGACAGATGTCGACGGTGCCATCCTTTAGGATGTATCTCCGATAGTTGTTGGTCTTAATAACCTGATCCTGTATTGCACAGACAAAACCCTCGGTTTCCCCGAAGAGATCACCAAAGCGTAGCCAGTGGAGGGAGGCTACTGTGTCTACGAAAGGCTCATGTAGAGCCTTGTAGAACCTCCCGTGGAGCTCCTTCTCCTTCCATACGGTCTCCCGGTCGGAAATGCTCTGCACTGCCGGGTCTTGCCATTGCTCGTTGGCTAAGGATAGAGGGGGTAAGTCCTTTATCACAAGAAATGACGTCCTTATAGAATGGATCATCCGATCTCGCCAGGAAGTAATCACGGAGGCTGCACACTTCGCGATTATGCATGGTGAGCGCGCTCAAGAAGCCACGACCACCATGCTTCCGCGGCAAGTACAGCCTCATTACCGACGATCTCGGATGATGCATCCTATGGGACGTCATTGTAGTGCGGACTTTTCTATCCAGGGCGTTAAGTTCAGTCTGAGTCCACCTGAGTATGCCAAAGGTATACATGAGGACAGGCATGACCCAGCCGTTATATGCGTGTGCCTTATTCACACCGGACAAAAGGCTGTTAAGCACTTTGGTCAAGCGTGCATAAAACACGTCGCAAACTGACTGTTTCATACCAGTCTCATCGATACCGATGTTTTGTGACATACCCAGGTATCGGTATGTTTCAGCCTCGGAAAGGGTCCTTAAGTTGACGGGCATAGATAAGTCTACGCCCTCAGAGTTAGCAACCCTTCCCCTTTCAACATGGAGGACCGCACACTTATCCGTCCCCAGCTCCATTCCAATGGAATTGCTAAATTCACAAGTGATGTTTAGCAATTCCATAAGATGGGAGCGACTGGAGGCGAATAACTTGAGGTCATCCATATAGAAAAGGTGGGTCACTTTTGTCCCTCCTTTCCGTAGCTGAAATCCCCTCCCGGAGCCCTCCAGTAAGGTACTGAGAGGGTTCAGAGAGAGGCAGAACCAGATTGGACTCAGACAATCGCCCTGGAAGATACCCCTTCTTATCCTTATGTGGTTCTCCGCAGCCATCATCCGCTCGCCTAGATGACAAAGGATCGTACTCCACTGCCCCATACACTGCTCGAGGAAGTCTCTAACTGTACAGTCTATCTTGTACAGCTCGAGGACTCTCTTTAGCCATGTATGGGGCACCGAGTCGAATGCCTTTCTGTAGTCTATCCAGGCGGCGGAGAAGTTCCGACGGTTGCGTTTCACCACTTTGCCAATGACCGCGTCAATGAGGAGTGGTTCCTTGGTTCCACGACCACCGCCCCGACATCCATTTTGAGCGCGCGACATCACCTGATTTGAGTCCAGGTGACAAGTGATTCTCGCGCTCAAAATGGATGTTAGTGTCTTGTATATGGTCGGTAGACACGTGATGGGGCGGTATTTGCTCGGGTCTGTGGTACCCTGGTCTTTAGGAACTAAATGAGTGATCCCAGTAGTGAAGAGGCTTGGGAGCGACTTCTGGTTGAGAGCCTCTTGAAACTGTCGGGCGAGCACAGAGTGACACACCATGAACCCCTTCAGCCAGTAGTGATGCAGCCCGTCAAGCCCCGGACTTTTCCAGTTCGGGGCCCTACAGAACCGCCTCAGCTACGTCATCCGGCGTTATGATGACGGGGTCCATGGGCGTAATACCCGCACACTGACTCGCCACAACTTCCGTCCAAGGGCCCTCGCTGTGGTTTACGGGCTCTGACCACAGGCCGCGCCAGAATGCTACAGTGTCGGCCTGATTCGGTGCTGGACCCGTTCCACTTACCATTGGTCGCTCCAATGATTCATAGAGCCTCTTCTGATCACTCTGGAAGAGACGATTCTGGTTGAACCGTGTCGACCTCTCGGTATATCGCCGAATCCGCTTTCCCCAAGCAGCGATTCTCTGCTTCAGATCATCTATGCGCTCCGTCAGTTTTTGCGTTATATCCGGCTGGGACAAACTGACATTTGTCCCAGCAAACGCCATCCTGACGGTGCGCACAATTCTTGGCCTGTTGTTGCCTGATCTGAAGCATATCAGTCTGCCGATGAGAGCTCTAGCCTTTGCGATACGTTCCTCAATTCTTCTTCTCCATGCTGGGATAGCGCTACTATGGCCAGTAGCGCGTCCAGCCGTGGAAACCTTGGCGCCTATGATACGGCAGACTGCCAGCGCGGCGCCAAAAAGAATTGAGTCCGTCTCGCAAAGGTCCCGGCTGGCTTCCAAATAGGTAACCAGCATTGGGTTCAGAGCCCTCACGACAGCCCGATTCCGCTTGCTTAGGGCTATGCGGGGAAGTCGCGGTCGATTTTCAAGAGGCGTACTGCGCGTTTCCACAATCGCCTCTTCCAATGTACTCCTCATATGCTCTAATTCCAGTTCCTGGGCGACTGTTCCATCATCGTTTGAATCAACCACAACTGGGGTATTCACGGCGGCATCCACGTTTGCGGGTTGCTCTACCATTTGTGGCGCCGCATCTTCAGCCGTAGCATTCTCATCCGACGAGGGAACAGCCTCACGTCGTAGCCGTTCGAGTTCGGCGACATCAAATATATTTGAGCGCAAGATATACCGAACTCGGTCTGCCAGGTTTTGCTCTGTGACGATTAAAGATGGCTCCAGCTCAGCAAAAAGACGATGCATCCTAGCCCGATACGCCAAACATCCAGTTTCTTCCCCTTTTGCCCTAAAGTACGCCCGCAGTGCGTTTGCATTCATTTCTTGTGACCAACGCATGCGACGTGCTCCACCAGCGGCGGGTGCCGCTTGCTGAGTCCGAGAAGACCCAGACCATTATTCCATTATTATTATTATTATTATTATTATTCTAACTACCTATTTATTTTCGAGTTTGACGTCATTCATTAGGTATAGTAGGTTTTTAAATTAAACTTTTAGGGAATAACAAAAAGAAATGGTGATTGAATGTTTTTACTATAGTTTATACTTTCACTTTATTCGAAATAAATTCAAAATGTGATTCAGATTAAAAAAACATGCAACTGTTCATTAAAAATTCAAAAGATCGGTTTTTAATCGATGGGGCGCCCCTAATAATTTTTATACACTACATGCCGTTTGGCGAATATGGCGGCGATTAATTTTGTAAGTGGAATAGAATACTTTTTAATGTTCATTTTGGCATGCAGCTAGTCCATGTTATAAAAATATTTGCAGCTAATATAATAAAATAGATAATTAATTATAGTGTATGTCTGATGTTTTTACTGCACAGGGCGATTTTAGATACTGTCGTTTGACTAAGACAGTCAGTCGAAATTTCTTTTTAAGTACATGTTTCAATATTGAACATTGAAGTTTTAAGGTCTTGTATTTTTTTTCTGCAAAAAATCGGGCGTAGATTCCCCCGTGTGAATATTTTCTAAAAACTATTTCAATCCCCAATTACTAAATTTATGTACTCTTATAATAAATTTCAAATTTCTATAATTTCTCTTTTAGATATTTTAAAGTAAGCAAGGGTACTCACAGTCTTCGTAGTTTTCTCTACTAAAGTACTACATCCACCGATTCCCGCTGAGGGTGACACTTCCTGTCACTTTGACGCCAGCTGTCAAGTTGACACCCGCTATCAGATCGACGTTGCCTGTCAACTTCACCGATGGCAGCTGTCACCTATCTTCGGACTTGTGACGTCGGTACAGTAACGTCACAGCTTCTCTGCTGCTTCTGATCTCCACCGCTTACTGTCTTTGTCTCCTTTGCATCCCACGGCCTCCTGGTGACGTCGTCACGTTTACGTTCTCCTACTTTAGGGCCTATGATATCGGCACGTTGACCTCATGGCCTCACTGGTTCTTCCGCCCCTGCGGCTTCCTGATCACGTATTCTTTATCCATTCCCCGCGGCCTCCTGAAAACGTTTTCTTATTTTTTGGGCTTGTGCGTCGTCCCGGTGACATCATGGCCCCCCTGCAGCCTCGTGCCCTGTGGCACCTCAGCTTATTCCGCACCCTGCGGCCTCCTGTCTTCTGGCCCGTGACGTCGTCGCCCTGACGTCGTGGCCCCCCTGCTGCTCCGTGGCACCTCAGCCCCTTCCGCTGACTTGCGCTACTTCTGCAGCTTCCTACGCTCCCTGCATCCTCTTGATTCTTGCTCGGCTCTCTGCGGCCTCCTGCTACTTCAGGCTCCCTGTGGCCTCCCATCCAGATTGAAGGACCATGTTTAAGCACGGACATGCTCCTGGTCCCCTGGGATCCACCCTGGTGGATAGCAGATCCCAGAGGTGAAGGTGTGGAGGTGAAATGAGATCCTATATAATATCTCTAGTGTATTCTTGTATTACAGACAATTGAACCGAGTGTAGAGAACCGGAAACCTATTTTACTGGAAACGAAGCATTCCATCTTAGTCCTCACGGGTGAAAACGCATCTGCATTTCGATTCGTAATCGAGTATAGTTGTAGATGTCTATCACAGCAACCACTTACCATCACGTAGACTGTGTGCTCGTTTATCACCCTATCCTTAAAAAAAACTTCAGATTTAAGATCGCTTGACTGATCGCCTATTTGGACACATTGCTTTCTCCCCGACAAGTAGCTGGAAAACCAGTTTAAAGCGAGAATACGAATTCCAAGAGCACTAAATTTCTTACGGCGGATGGGGATCGATAACGGATCGAAAGCTTTAGCCAGATGGAGGGTTACACCGACACAAGATCGACCCTGATCGGGATGAGTTACAAACATATCTGTGAGAAGAGTTACTGCATCCTCATTCAATTTTCCCTGATGGAAACCAAACTGACGGCCCGAGAGTGTGCTATTTTTTTCAAGATAATTAAGTAGCCGCTTATGGATAACGGGTTCCAGGAGCTTAGAGTAACCAGCCAGCAGTAGCTATTGTATGTTTAATATATGATAACATAGGATATTATCTATTTTGTTGGCATTTAAACGACAGTAAATACAAGTTTTAATTACGTAACTATGTTTGTTTGTTCAGGACGAGGACGTTTTAGGATAAATTTCGCTTATACAAAGGTCCGAAGCGATAGTCCGTATTTGACATTAAACTACGTAACTCTTCCTTTTAATTTTGATAAAAATTAGGAGTGGAATAAATTGTCAACATTCTGTCCTTCCATACGATTATCAATGCAGGTCTTTAAGGCAAGGGTAAATAGGCGTTTGTTACCATCACCATCTTCGGATGCATCACTAATCACCAATTTTCAAATATTTACATTTATTTATTTTTTTCAGACTCTAACAATTCCATGGCTCATAATTATATAATCGTCATAAACAGGTCCCAGCAGAGCTTTTAAAGATTTTTCAGTACTGGTACAACAATCAGTATTGTAACGTGAGATGGGTCAATTAGTTTTCTGAAAGTTACAGGTGGCAATGTGGGGTCAGACAAAGTGACTGTACATAAATGATCTAATCGTTAAACTCAGCAGGAAAGGAGTCGGATATCATATCGACGATGTAAGTTTTAATAACATTCGTTACGCAGTTAATATGGTGCTGCTGAGTCCAACGGTCAAGACAACCAGGGAACTCCTCAAGATATGTGAGAAGTACGCGATAAACCATGGCTTGAGTTACAACCACTAATTAAAGCGAGTTTATGTTGTTTAGGGACTTCGGCTGTAGAAGCCCACAAAAAGTGCCTGCTATTAAATAGAATGGCACTGTATTAAAACGAGTTAGTAAATTTAAGTACCTAGGGAATTTTGTTACCGATGACCTAAACGACAATGTTGACATTGAAAGGGAGCGTAGGGCGCTGGCAGTCAGATGAAATAATTATGTAGTGAACAAAATAAAAATAACATTATTTAAAGCCTATTGTCAAGTTTTATTCACTTGCAGTCTGTGGTCTGATTATTCACAGCGGACTGTCGACGGGGTGTGTAATGCAGTTGTTCATGGGTGGTGTCAACACCTACCTTCAGGTGAACCACACGCTCATTTGCCCACTCATCTGTAGTAAAGAAAAAATATTTGATTAATTGGCTAAATTCGTTATAAGCGACGTTCGTGGTCGTTTTCAACATTTAGTGGGACGGTACTAATGTTCAAAAATAAAATCTTTTATTAATATAGAACAACAAATCTAAATGATTTCTTAAATTTACGCGAACACTACGCATTGAATAAAACTATTATTTACGGATTTTATTGCGTTTAATTACTTTAATTTGTTTTTACGATCCCGACGTTTCGGGTGCTTTACAGCCCCCATGGTCACGGGGGGGACTGAGATGTTTGACGTCCCAAAGTCATAGTTAGACCGGCTACATTCAGTTTTTGAATATTAATTTTTGGTCCGATTTACGCAAAACGAGCTTATTGTATCATGAAGTCTTACAGTGGTATGCTTGGGTTTGGGTTTAATTTTGTTAATTATAGGATCCCAAGCTGCTGGCAGCACCCATCCATCTTCTCTATTGAAATTTGGATGTTTTTTAATGTCAATAGCCTCGCGTATTATCCTTGGTAGGAATCGGTGTTCTTTTGCGAGGATTTGTGGTATATCAAATCGAATGTAATGGTGGGGAC